CTTTAAATGCACCAGAGGACAATTCCCAATTTGCCTAGCAAGAACTGCAATCTATCACATCTAAGCAGAAAGGCTGCTAATACAAATTATTCTGTATTTATTTGGAGAAGCAAATGTCATTATACAACCATAATAACATTTATCTGATGAATTAAATATTTCCTATGCTATATTTGTGCTTTTGATTTTGTTTTTGTAAGTGAAGTATTTGTATTTGTGTCTATTAATTTTCATTGCTGTTTTCAGCCCACATCTCTAACCTACCAAGATCCTTTGGGGCTGTGTTTCTGTCTTCTAGTGTAGTGACTCTCCCATTCAGCTTTGTATCATCTGCTAATTTGACAAGCATTCCCCTCACTCTTCAACCAATGAAAATTGGGTGGCAATTCATACAAACATGGAAAAGCACCAGTCCCAGGACTGAATCCTTTTAAAACCTCTCTCCGCTCTGATCAGAAAGAGCCCTTTCCAGCCACCTAACAGAAGCTATCAATGCCATATTTACCTACCTGGTTAATCAGAGTGTCACTGGCATTCAGTCAAACACTATGCTGAAATCAAGGTAAATTATATCCACAGATTTCTCAAAATCTGATAAAGAAAAGTTATTTTATAATTTAAAAAATATGAAATAAGGCATGTTTGTACAACTCCCACGCTGCAGGTCTTGAGAATGTCCACGACTGAATTGCTGTTGAATTCTTATTTTCAAGATAAGGACACAGGTTCAAGGGGAAAGACACAGGAATTAGCCCTAATCGTCCAATTTATCTTGGCCTGGCCACAGGATACCGAGGAGTACAAAGGCCAAATGCAGCAATTAGTCAAAGAAAAACGGCGTTTTCTTTAATCATGGCAACTGCCATTCCGAGCTCTATTGGAAGAAATTGGGCAGCAATTAATGGTGTGAACGCCAGTAATCAATAAAAAAACACCCCCTTCTAAACAGCACCGAGCCTGCTTTTAAAAAGGAAACGCTTCCAGCAGCGCAGATAAAATTGCGGGCGGCAAATCCCATCTGGCTTCTCTCACAAGCCGCAGGCCGCGATTTGCCGCAAAGGGGCCAAAGGCCGCCGCCCGCCCCAGCCGAGGGCCCTTCCCCCGAGGGCCAAGCCGGAGGCCGGGCGAGCCAAGCAAGAGGAGGGCCATCGTGGCCCGGCCGGCCCGGCCGCGCTTGGCCGGGCGAGGAAGCCGTTTCCCCACCCCCAGGGCGCCCCGCCGCTCGGGGAAACGCCGCGCGCCAGAGGAGGCGGCCCTCCGCTCCAGCCGCCCCATCGCCCTCGGTGACAGCAGCGGCGCAGCCCCGGCGCTCTGCGCTACCCCGCCCAGGACGATGGGAGTCGTAGTCTGCCACGGCTGGCGATCCCGCTCTCCGCCGCCCGCCGCTCACCTGGGCCAGCTCCTCCCGGCAGACGGCGCAGTACCGGACCCCGCAGAGCGCCCGCATCCGCACGGAGCACCGGTAGCAGATGGGGTGCTCGCAGCGGCCCAAGGCCACCACCTCCAGCTCGCCGCAGCACAGCACGCAGCTGCCCGGGCCGTCCGAAATACGCGACTCCGAGGGAGGCGAAGCCGCCATGACGTCCCGCCGCTCGACTCGGCCGCCGGACGGCTCTGCCGTCCCGCCGCTACTGCGGCCTACTAGGCCCTGCACGCAGCCTAGCAACTGCCCGTCGCCCGCACAAAGATGGAAGCCTAGAGCGCCGCCCCCGCGCAGGGCCGCAGAGCCGGACGGCCACGCCTCTAAAGAAGAACGCTGGGCAGTCGCTTCCGGCCTCCTCGCTGATTTTTTTTTCCCTCTCGAGAAGAGACCCCTGCCAGAAGGCTCAATGGGGAAGTCTCGGGATTTGCCGGGAGCGTAAATAGGGCAGCAATTCGTGATTGCTCTGGCGAAGACCTCCCGCCAGGCAGCACACGGCGGGAAAGAAGACTTTGCACTCCCCGGTCCTTAAATCAGGCCCAACTTTTCGACCCTGCTTTATTCTGGGATTTCCTCGTAGTGCCCCTTCCGGGAAATATCCTAGGCCAGAGATAGGCAACCTTGGCTCTTTTATGACTCGTGGACTTCAACTCCCAGAATTCCTGAGCCAGCCATGCTGAGGGGAAAGGGAGAGGTTTCCAAGCTGAGCCATGCTGGCTCAGGAATTCTGGGAGTTGAAGTCCACGAGTCATGAGGGGGCCATATTCCCCCATGCTGGCTCAGGAATTCTGGGAGTTGAAGTCCACGAGTCATGAGGGGGCCATATTCCCCCATGCTGGCTCAGGAATTCTGGGAGTTGAAGTCCACCAGTCATAAAAGAGCCAAGGTTGCCTACCCCTGCCTGACCCTGCTTAGACATTGGGAACCAACAAGGTCCACCTGGAATCAGAGCATGGTGGTGCTGGAAGGGACCACAAGGATCATTTACTCTGCAACGAGCAGGAAAACGTAATTAAATCTTCCTTAACAATTGGGATTTGCTGCCCTCCTCAATTTGGAGCACTATGAACACGTCAGCAATCGCAGTTTCTCTGAACTGTTCCCGGAAGTTCGGTGGATTTGTCCGCCTCCTCCCCCGGCCTCCCTTCTCTCCGCCCAAAGTGGCTCTAGCGCCGCCTGCCCCGCTCCGTCCCGGAGGTCCCGGAACGCAGCAGCCGCAGCAATCCGGCGCCCTCTTCAGGCAGGAGGTTGGCTTGGCAGCACAGAATCTGAGCGAGCGCTGTGGACCTGCTAAGGCGGTGCTCCTCAACCTCGGCTGCTGAAGACGGATGGACTTCAACTCCCAGAATTCCCCAGCCAGCCCTGTAGGAATTCTGGGAATTGAAGTCCTCCCGTCTTCAAGCGGCCGAGAAACACGGAGGAAAAGGGCAGGCGAAAATAACTGGAGCAGATGAGCTCCGGTGCACCAAAGACCCAACACAGAAAACAGCTGCGGACAGGCGCGAGTAACTAATGGGCATTTATTTATTTAGCCTACGGCTTGTCTTACGTGGACTAGCACTAATGGACAATTATGGTTTGAGTCAAACGTTCTTTTTATGCCCAGGATCCATGCATTCCACCTTAGCATGGCTGGCTGGACATAAGAGCGGGCTCAGATGCTGCTGGGGTCCCAGGAGACCCAGTGGCACCAGGACCCATCGGAAGGAGGCAACTGGGCTGGACTGAGTTGGGAGGTGCCTGGGCCCCGGGGAAGAGCACTTGTCTCGGCCACTTGGAAGCAGGCGCGGCATTTCCTCGGGTGGCAGGTGTCGGGGCTCCCAGTTCAACCAGGTCCTAGAGCCTTTATCCTTGCCTGGGTGAGGGGCTGATGGCAAGAGGGCTTTTTTTGTGACTGGTAATCTGATCCAGTCAGAAGCCGAAGCATCAGCTGCCAACCACGCATGGCTATATATTCATATATTCAAGTCATTGCCATTCAGCAGCCCTCAAATGACACCCAACAACTAACAACATGCAAATAAACCTGCTCCAAGTGGCAAAAATAAAGGGTGGGGGAAAAGTGGGTTAATTAAACTGCCTAAAAAGGACACTCCTTTTATCCGGGAGTGAGCATCTCTGATCTTAATGGGTCATGCTTCTGAGCATACTTTTGCAAGGTGGCAGCAAAAAAAGGATGTGTTTGGAAAGTGTTCTGACTGGGCAGGTCCATGGGCCCAATTTGCTTAACTGTGGTCATAAAATAAGTTTGGTTAACCAGGGCTACATAACATTTTAAATCTCAAGCCAAATAAGCCACAATATGGTTAGCAAAGGATTTGCACCCCATTCAGACTCTAGATACTATTACAGGAATTGATATGAAAGTGCTGTCCCCTCCTGCCAACACAACAATTGCACATAATCTCTAATTCTCATGAAATTTTGATGAATTCACCCTTAAGGCAAAAGCAACCAGAGCCACTTTTGAGGAGTCTCAGCAGTAGATTTATTGTTAGTCACCTCTGTTACAAGAGTTTCTGCAGACTGACTTGTTCCCTTGGGAACGGCAAAATAAGGCTTCAAGGATTCTGGGGGAAGCCGGGCCTGAGCCACTTCCTATAGCATAACAGTCCAAAGTTGGACTCCTCTTAATGCCTCCCTCCAGTCTAGATCCGGAGTCTCCAGACTTGGCAACTTTAAGACTTGTGGACTTCAACTGACTAAGGAATTCTGAGAGTTGAAGTCCACAAGTCTTAAAGTTGCCAAGTTGTAAGCCCCTGCTCTAGATGGAGATTCCACTACAAGTCCAAGTGTCAGCCAGCTGGGCCCTCAGGAAAGCAAGACTCTTGAATCCATTGAGTTGAATCAAAAGAACTTTTACTGAGAGAAACTGAATGCAGTAAAGTCAGGCAGAATCTGAAGGTCCCACGCAAAGTGTAAGGCAATTCTTTTGATTTCCCAATCCCAACTCCCCAGACCTGTCCACCGGCGGCCAATGTGATGCTGAGAAGATGTTTTGAGAATGCTGAGGTGCTAGACAGGTAACAGGTCACACTCAAGGCACAACAGACTTGGAACGGCGAAAACCACCTGGGAAGTCCATCCCATCTCTGAAGATAGTCCCCCTCCTTAATTCCCAAGTGAAGAGCAGAAGCAGAAAAATCCGAAGCATGCCATCCTCCCTCCCCCATCAGCACCATGGCAGGACACCAGAATACGAAGGGTGGATCTAACATGCTGCCTCCCTGAACAGCAACGTTAGTCCTGCAAATCAAAACACAATAAAGAAGGTGAAAAGAGGGTTAGGGTTGACAGCTTACTTAGGTTTATCAGAATATTGATTATGAAACTGTTTAAGAAGCCTAGCATGATCCACCCATTCATTTTGGGAAAATCCTTCCATGCTACTAAATATTGAACCTTTCCCTGATGTCTGTGTAAATTTAAAATGTACTTGACAAATTTGGAGACCCATTCTTTTAAATAAGGCACAGTGGGATCATTCAAAGGTAGCTCAGGCATGGGAGTGAAGTCTTGTCCCATAGCCACCTTGAAAGGGGTGAATCCAGTACTATTGTGTACCAAATTATTGTATGCCACCTCTGCAAATGGTAAGAGGTCTGTCCTGATAATTAATGTAGCACCTGAGGTATTGTTCCAATTCTGAGTTAGCGTTTGTAGTTTGGGGGTGGTGACTGGAGCCAAGCCCCTGTTCAGTCCCCAGAAGGTTTAGGAATGCTTGCCAGAACTTGGAAGTGAATTGTACCCCCTATCAGAGATTATGCATTGTAGGGCTCTGTGCAGTCAATAGACATGTTGCACAAAAAGTTTGCTTAGTGTACATGCCAAGGGAATTTTTTGGCACGGCACAAAGTGCACCTGCTTGGAAAACAAGTCGGTTACAACCATATGACCGCATTTCCTGAGCTCTCTGGGAGTTCTGCTATGAAATCCATGGAGATTTTTCTCCATGGGGCCGTTGGCTCAGCCACCGGCTGGAGGAGCCCTGGGGTTTTTCCCTGCTGCCGCTTGGCAGAATCACAAATAGGGCAACTTGCCACGTAGCTTTCAATGTCCTTCTTTAAGGACGGCCACCAAAACTGTCTTTTAATTAAATGTAAAGTTTTCACAAAACCAAAATGCCCAGCAGCTTTTGAATCATGGCCCTTACCCAGGACCAGTAACATTTGACTTTCCGGTACATGCAATTTAGCCCCCACCCGGGCTAGACCATCCCGTATGGAACATTCATTTTTTTGTGATTTTGAAACCACTTGTCTTCCTGTAGTGAGGCTTTAAGAGCCGCTGTGACATTGTTGTCTATCTGAGGCTTTTCTCTTTTTTTTTAAAAAAAAAAATATATTTTATTAATTTTTTACAATAACAATCTTTAGTGCTTTGTGAACAGTGTGTTGTCTGGGTTCATATATTTAAAACAATCAATGATAATTAATTTCTACAATTAATATGTTGGTAATATATTTCTTGATCCTCTCTTCTTCCTGTAATATTCTCCTTTTGTCTACATTACACAAATATAATTCTTAATATTTTCAGTACAAACCAAGTTGAATATAAACATTTTTAGTATTTATGCATATAATAATAACATCAACATATAACATGTTTTTAATCAGCTTGTTTCCATTGTATTTATAAAAGTCATCTTATTAAATCATTATATGTCCTGTTTTCAAGATTCTTATTAAAGCTTAATTTCCCCTCAGTATTCAAATCACTCTTATCAGTCATAGTTTTCTCAAAATTCATTACCTTTAAATATCCAAAAATTTCATTTAAATAGATCCTCTCAATGTTTTAATATTTCATATATTCTAAGAGTATTATACTACTTATATATCTTATTCCTCTTACTATAGTCGGTTCAGTGGAGCGTAGTTCAGGCATCGGATTAAAACTCTGTCCTGTCACTACTTGGAATGGAGTGTAGCCTGTGCTGGAATGTATTGCATTATTATAGGCAACTTCTGTGAATGGAAGCAAGTCGGTCCAGTTGTCTTGTTGGTAGTTTATAAACCATCTTAAGTACTGCTCCAGTACCGAGTTCAAACGTTCCATCCAACCATTCGTCTGGATGACAGCCACTGGGTGGTCCCCAAAAGTCCTAGAAACACTCTCCAAAACTCTGAGGTAAATTGCACCCCTCTATGATATAA